GGGAGTTAAACCAGTCTTTACTGCTTGGTAGAATAATCTTGTAGCATCATCCAACAGTCCTTGTTTGCTAAGACCATTCACTAGCACACTATAAACTCTGACATCAGGAAGAAGGCCGCTCCTTAATATATGTCTATACAAGTTAATACCACCTTTCAAATTCCCAGCCTTGCAGAGGCCATCCAATAGACTACTATAAACTAGAAGAGATGGCTCAACACTATTTGTTAGCATCTGACCTAAAACACTAAAAGCCTCGTGCAAGTGTCCAATTTGACACATGCCATTTACAAGTATGCCATAGGTAACCAGGGTGGGGCAGATCCCTTCCTTTAACATTTTTTTGAACACTAAAATCCCCCTTTCTACATCTCCATCTCGAACACAAGCATCAATAATGGAACTAAAAATTACCACATCCAATTTAACTCCTTTTCCCAATGCAGTAGAGAGAAGCTGATGTCCCTCTTCGAATTTCCCTACCTTGAATAGTCCATCAATCAAAATACTATACACAATTAGGTCAGGTTCTATACCCCTCCCTATCATCAAAACATAAAGCTTAAATGCCTCTTCCAATCTTTGCTCTTTACAATACCCATTAATTAATGTGGTAAACGTCACCACATTGGGTCTTGGACCTACATCTAGTAATAACAAAAGCAACTTGTTAGCAACTTCAATAGAACTATAACCACAACAAATACTCTTCAAAACCTTGTTACAATATACAATATCAGGTTTAGAACCTCTCTCAATCATTTTCCGGTGAAACTCTAAACCAATGCTAGCCTCTCCATTCTTGAAAAAACCATTCATCACAAAGCCATACATATCAAAGCACCTCTTTGGCTCTCCCTTGGACCTGTTTTCCATTTCTTTGTACACATCTAGAATAAGATCCAAACGCCTCAAATCAATCAAAGAACTCAACATTTTCAACAATGCATAATGTGAAACTGAAACCCCCATTTTACACAATCGAAAAAACAACTCAACAGACAGACTGATCCTCCCAATTCTGCAATAACCATCAACCAAGAAGCTATAAACAGTACTTCTATCAGCACCATAAACCTTAAACCCTTCATCGAAAACAGCCAAACAATCAAATTCCCCAAACTTTTCAGCCATTTTAGCAAAAACCCATCTAGCATCATCGAACATACGCTTACTCAGCAATAAATGACAGAGCATAGAATGACACTTACGTGTGTGATTAAGCCCAAGAAAATTCTCAGACCACTTAAAAAATCTAATTGCTGAAGTGGGTTTTGACCGAAACTCATGAATAACTGATTCAAGGTGGCAAGACTGTATTTTGGATGACACTACAGGGTCAATTAATTTAGGGTTTTCTTGGTGAAATGCAGTTGCAATCCGAGAAATTAGTGATTTTGGCAATGAGGAATTTGAGAATGAGTGTGCAAAGATGAATCTTGAAATGGATTTAGGTGAAAAGGATAGTACCTTGGATAAGAATACCATGGAATTTGCAGTTTCTGATAGCAAAGTGGAAGCTTTTTGCCATTTATTCGATGGGTTTCTGTTTGCTGCTTTGCATTTCAAGTGTGGGTTTTTGGGAGGGTTTTGGAGGGTTTATGTATGAAAGCTTGGTTTTGGTGTTCTTACCATTTGGGTCCCTGAAGTTTAAAGTTAACTCAGATTTTGCCTAGTAATGGTCTGGATAATGTGGATTAAGTCCTTCAGGTTAAAAATAGTGGGAACTGTTGCTCTGTTGTGCAAGCTTCGCAAGGAACATACTTGAGCCTTTTTTTAGATTAGCTATTTTTTAGGGTATTTTTAAAAAATTCTACTATAGCAGAATTTTTAGAGTATATTTTGAAATATTTTTAGAAAATACTTTAAAATATTTAAGAGTAGTAGAGTTTTTAAAATATATTTTGGGATATTTTTTAAACATTAAAAAAATTTAAATTACTTTTCAGAATACCTTTGAAAGTACTTTTTAAAAATTTTTATAGTATTTGAAAAACTTTTACAAAAAAGTAATCTAAATTTAAGATATTTTTGAAATGACTATAATTATTAGTGAGAATGATAACTACAATTTAAGGTCTCAATTACAATGTCTATAATCATTCAAAGTTTAAGGTCTCAATAAAAATGTCTATAATCATCCGTAGAATCCTAATTTGATCATTTGCTATGGTATACTTGTGTCATTGCAAAATGGTAGATACAAGCTGCAATCTGGATAATGTGGTAGACAGACTGGGACAACTGGACTTGAAGTGAATTGTTGAAATTAATCCACAGATAACTTGGACAAATTGTCGTATGGATGTGCGATTTCCCCAAGTAACGAACAGCCGAGGAGCATTTGAGTGGCTGTTTCATCAGATGGACTTTCCATCCCTCGTGGCTTCACAATCCATAGCTAAGGACCATCGCATTGGCTCTTCCTTGTACAAGCTTTGCTGTAAATGAAGAACTGTGGTCACAAAATGACGTTTCCCAACACTCTTGTACCCCAAAACAATGTTGCCAACTTCTTGAAATTGAACCTTCAACCAATGAGTCTAGAGTTGCATATGATTCAAACTGGTTACAAGTAATTCAAATCAAAACTTGACTTAAACTCGATCAACATTAAGATCGAACTGACTAAGTTGAGTTCAAACTCGAAATAAAAAATACACATCTCGTTAATTCACGAGTTGGTTCGATTATATATATTAATAGTAAAATTACATATATATTTTTAATATTTTATTATTCGTTAAAAAAATTACTATTTTACTTATTTTTTAAAAATAAAATAATTATTTTTTATTTTTTTAAAGCTCGAGCGCAACTGGCTCGAATTTGAAGTTGAAGTCGAACTCGAACTCGAATTCAAACTTTACATTGAAAACTCATCAAATTCGAACTCAATCTTGATAAAATTAAGTCAAGATTCAGCTTAATTAAGCTAAAACTCGATTCGACTCGTTTGCAACCCAAACCCTCAGATTTTCAAAAGTAAACTCTTCAACCGTGTTTAGAAAGTGAACTCTTGGACTGTGTTTAGCACGTAGCTTGCTTTTAACCTGGAGAGAATTCTAACAGTGGACTCTCCTAGCCACTGGACAAACCCAAGGGGTTAGATTACTTTGACATTCAAAAGAAAAAAATTCAAACATGGCTGGCTTGATTCAGATTTCCAAGTGCAAAACATATAAATTCATCTGTATCATACGTTCGTCTGAACTATATAGAACTATTGGTATCCTATATCCGTGAAAGGTAAGAGATTTTGTATTTCTTTGAAACATTCTTTTTTTTTTTAAGTATAAGTTGGAGGACTCGAACCCGACACCTCTCGCTTGCTAAAATCATTCTAGGTTGATTTTGCATGGCACAAGCTCAGTCGACATTTTCTTTCGTTAGACTTTTGCTCTCCTCCATAAGTAATCTACCAACATTGCATCTACAGAAAACGAGATCACATTCGCTTCACAAAAAATGTTACTGGATAAGTATTTAATATCAAGCACAAACTTACTTTATAATTAGCCATTAAAGCAATGTTCTTCCCCTTCTAATGTGTTAGGCAGCCCAGCAAATATCACTTTCAGCTACTGAATAAAATTTTTACTACAAGATCTGTGGACTGGAAACCTTCATTACAGAACATTGAAAAGGAGGTGTTGGGCAATGGAGTAAATCCAGCAGAAATCCCAGAGGCTGTGCGAAGATTGTCTGGCCTTCACCGATGGTCATGTTATTACCAAGCTATAAGCCAGAACATCTTCTAAGCTGCTAATTTCTACAATTGATGGAGAATAAAATGTTGATAGGTCTCCAGTTTCAGCAATCCAAAGGTAAGGACTGGCCATGACCTGTAGAAGTCAATGGAAAAACATCCAGGCATGAGTCTCCAAAATAATGCGTAGACCACAAAATGGAAGTCTTAGAATCCCTCCCAACAAAGAAGCAACTTTCGCTTGCCCTGGTACCTGTTATCTTTAGCTTCATGACAGCACAACCAAGTTTGTTATGTCAAAGACCTTGATTACATACTCTTAAAAGTTGTTCAAACACCTCCTACCAATACCTTGCCTGAACAAAGGCTAGCTATCAATCTTAGCATCTTTTTTATCTAAACAATCAGTTGACAAACTGAAAAAAGATTGTTGAAAGATCTCATTAGTACAATAAGTCTGACATCCTATTAGACAAGAAGTAATCTTACAACCAATGGAAGAATTGAAGCCAGTCACCAAATCTAGGTCCATCACATTAATCTTTTCTCTTCTTTACAAGTTTAGGAATGATGTATAAATAATAGATAAGGGTGAAGATTATGTGGATCTCCAAGGTTCTATACAAGCACAAAACAGGAGGCCAAGAGCAGGAAAAGAACATATACAGCATAATAAACATCTTACAACTAGAATGGTCAAAATTTAGGGTGCGTTTGACAAAAATGAAGTCTAAAAACTAAAATCTGAAATCTGAATCCATTAAATTAGTGAATTTTTAAGTGCTAAATCTGATACATTTTGGTGTATATCGCATTAAGTAATAAGTGAATAGCTTATCACTTATTTTTGGGAGCAAGTTCTACCTAGAAAATTCAGTGCCACTTAATTAATTCAGATGTTCAATTTTTTTTATTATCAAACGCGTCTAAACATGCTAAAATCTGAATCCATTAAGTTTAAGTACTGAATTGGGTTATCAAATAGGGCCTTAGTTTGGTCCCAAAATTTTATTGCTAATGATATTCTGCATTGAAGGGTTGTAACGCCTATCTTTTGAAGAGCCTTAACAGAATAAATGCATGACTTCAGGTGGGGATACCCAAATCAAAGGGCAATTCAAATGTAACTGAACATTATTAAACGCAAAAGAGGGAAGGGATAAACTGTACATTGATCTGTGTTTAGGTGATCCAGACAAGCAGTTATTATTCAGAGACATTTTAAGAGCTTCTGTACTTTGCTTTTGCTTTCTCCACTTTCTGTTTTAGGCACTTAGCAAGTAGAGCATGTGACTAAAAAATCCTCTCACATGACAGAGGTATGGACTGTTATACGCATAACTGAAGAGCACCTTATTTGATATGTCAAAATGGTTACTCTAAATGTACGTGGATGGATCATAGTACCATTCACCAGAATTATACTTGCTTAAGCTAAAGAGGCATACTGAGAATTTCTAAAACCTAAAGGTTACTAATATAAATGAAAATTATTCCAAATAGGGTACAAACTAAACATGCTTACCGAAGGACAACCAACCCCCATCTGGGGCTACTCTGTAATCATTAAACCACATAGGACTATCCCTTTCAGCTAATAAAAATAAAACCCCTCCAATATAAATTGAGATTCTGAAAGTGTTTTATCTAAAAAGCAATCGTAGCAGTGAGCTTCTCCACCTTCTTTCTCCAGTTGGCACAACAATCAATTTTCTTACGACATTATCCATACACGAAAAGATGTCATCACTCCAGCTTTGAAGTTTGAACCTTCCAATCATCTATGGCATTTATCTTGCCATTTCATCAAACATTTGTTTTTGCAGCCAAAGTTTAGGAATTTTCTGTAGACAAAAAACATCCTTGACATCCCTCGCTTGTGTATTTAGTCAAATGGCTAAAGTCAAAGCAAATATAAATTTGGCATTTAGTTCTGAGCCTAAACTGCTTTAAAAGCCAAAAGCAAAATCTTCAATTCTGATAGTTTATCACAAAGTGAAAACGCCACATGCAACCCAAAGTGCTTCCTTCCCGAGAATACAAATCTAGGTCACTAACCAAGCACAGAAAAGGGAAAGGTTAAATTATCACATACCAGTAAAGTTGAGCAACTAATATATTTCATCATCAGGAATGTCGGGCGTCAAAAACTTTTTAGGGTCTTTGCTGATCTCCTCATAATTGAATGTCGAAGCTTTAACCCTTTCAGGAACAGGTACAAGAGGAATGATGCTGTCTCTATCAATAACTCCATCAATAATTCCAAATTCAACCGCTTCAATGGGGGAGAGATACCGGTCCCTATCAATATCCTTTTCAACTTGTTCGATTGTTCGACCAGTAAAATCAGATACAATCTTTATGACATTATTCTTGTTATGCATGATTTCTCGGGCTTGAATTTCAACATCTATTGCTTGCCCACTTGCACCTCCAAGGGGTTGATGGATCATAATTCGTGTATTGGGCATAGCCAAGCGCTTACCTTTGGTGCCACCACCAAGGATTAAGGAAGCTGTTGAAGCTGCAATGCCTATTGCAATTGTGGAAACGTCAGCTCTCACAAGTCGCACGACATCAAAGATAGCCATTGTAGCACTGCCAAGGATAAGAAATAAAAGTGAGCAACTAAAAATATTACCAATGTAACTCAACATCTAATTAAGATATGTGTGTGCGCGTGTGTGCATATGTATGTATGTATGTATGAGATGTGCATAAAGCTGAATCATTGCTTGATCATACTTGGAACCTGCAAGCTGTTTCATCATTGAGTTAAATTTACAAAAACTAGTCTTTGAGCTTGTTTTCATCCTCAAACCATAGTCAATACCCCCTGGTTCACCAATTGGGAGTTGTACATATTCTGGATAATCAAACTAACAAAAACGTGGGAAAGCCAAAGATTTGAGGCTCCGGAATTTTCTTTTTCTCTTTGCTTTCATTTTAGAAGAAAACTTCTGATTTATTCTTCTTCACTTTACAGTTACCACTGTCACTATCAGAAACATGTGTTTTAAGCTCTTCGAATTACAGTTAATCTTGACAATGTAAAATATTTTTCTACATTCTCTTTTATTAAAGTATCAAAACAGCATCCAGGAAGTGAAATTCCTGCACAAGCCGTTGCTCCCAACGAGATGGATGAAGGCACCAGATAATAGCCATTCCCTGACAGAAGTTTGGTTTCTATAACTTCTTTGTTTAAATCTGAAATAGATGTATCTTGAGAGCCACCAGGTCAAATAAGGTCAAAGCAGAATTTGTGCCACAAATAGATGCATATTAGGTATTTTAATTGAGTAAAATCAAAACTGCACCTATTCAGATACAGCAATAGATCTTTAATTTTTCCACCCCGCGGTGTACAATTATTTCAGTAGCATCTATGTAAGTTATTCAGGAACATTGTTCACCTTTTGGTCTAAAAGCATGGCAGAAGCCAAAATATTTGTGCTTCTAAGTAAAAGCTATACATGACTTGGAACCATTGCATTCTCCTAAAATGGAAATCATGGTTACACAACATCACGTTATTAACAGAACAAAGAATCATATTAGATAATTGATTGGTGAAAAGGATACACAAAGAAGTTCCTTAAGATCAAAATTTTCCAACTTAACCTAGGCCATATGGCAATATCCAATGTCTTAATTTTGTGATGCTTGCTAGGATGTGGTGGCATCCCAAAGTGCCAATTATCAGACCCACTCCACAATCCAGATCCTCAACAACGCCAACTTCATGAACCAAGTGCTGGTGTGCTAAAAACTATCTCTTAGTACCATACATCTACAGATGCAACATTATGCCTCTACACAGCACCTAATTACAGCAAAAGTAAATCTCAATTTTAACTTCGAGAGAAGAAAAGGAGGGAAACACTCTTCTTCACTAGCTTTTCAAGCTTATGTTGCTTTACCAAATGAATTGTGACAAGGGTGGTTTGTGCACCTACTGACAATGACACTGTGTTTCTACATATCAACTCAAGGGGGATGGTGTTCTATCATTCATTAGCAATAGAAAAGAGTAAAGCATCAAATCAATAGCTAGTTCCTTCAACTTACCATTTATTTAGTTTTCTCATACATCCTTTTTTCAATTGCTGGATTTTTCCTCTTTCCCAGATATATCTAACTCCTTAAAAATTCTGGGACAAAGAGGTCAGAGTAATTTCTCCACATCAACCCAAAGGATAAGCTCCATTCATTTTGTATTCCCGATTATATTCTTTATGCCACTAAATTAGAAAATAGAAAACTTCCCACATAGCAACTCTACACAAGGCTACTACAAGAAGTAAACAAGCGCAGGATGCAGCACATTTCTCGTCAATATAAATTAGAAGCAACATACTTATGCTACCAACTCATAAAACTAAAACTTCTCACGTGGTGAACCATAACCCATATTAACCACAAATATGAGCTTAATTTTGACTTATTCTGCATGATCACAGTATCAGTATACCTATAGCGAAATCTTCATGCTGTATACTGATTTTTCAGAGGCATGCCTCCTCCCTTCTTAGTGTATATAGGGTAAGCATAAACTTCCCATTTACCATTTTTTGACTTCTGATCTCTCTACCCATTAACAAATAAACAACTCTATTCTACCAATTTCTAACAAATATATAAGTGTGCTAAAATATCCAAAGGCGTACTGCAAATGTGATAAACTTCCAATTTGTAAAACTTCCAACAGTAGCCAAAGTTTAAGCGCCGTATTTGCACTAGCCCAGTATTCAGTTTCACAAAATAACTATCAAATTGTACAACTTAATAATTACACAAACATACGAACACACAAACCCAACCCCCCCCCCCCCATTCCTCCCACTTCCACTGGCACACCAGAAGAAGATAATTCATATTTTCAATTCAAGAATCTAATCAAATCCAATCCTCTGAACCTTCCGGCACCAAAGTTGATCAATTTCACTAAGATATCACATTAAAATAGAAAAAAAGCTTCATAAACAAATACCTGAGAGAGCCACCAGGTGAATTAATGAAAAGCCTAATATCTCTAGTATGGTCTTGAGCATCCAACAACAGCAGCTGGCTAATAATAGCATCAGCAACAAGATCATCAATATTACTCCCCAAAAACACTATCCTCTCCTTGAACAAAAGCCCCATTGCATCAGCCTCAGCCCCCCTCATTGCAGTGGCCGGAGTCTGAGGCGCGACAGCCGTCCACAACTCACTATCATCTGGGCTCGTCTGCAAATCGTTGACACTCAAGCTAAGTGAGTGGGCCAATGAAGCTTTCGACACGTTTCTTGAAATGGGTTGGCGGAAATTCAGAGAAGATTTCACAGGCCAGATAAGGGGCTTGTGAGGAAGTGAACAAGATAGGGAGGGTGGAAAGTGTTTGTGAAAAGGCCTGAGAGAAGGGTAGGAGGAAAGCGGAGTTGAAAGAGAGATGGACTCCATAGTCTTTGAAGAATTGAAGTTTGAAGCAAAGGTTTTGGGGACAAAGAAAGAGGTTTTGACCTTCCCCGGTAAAAGATGGCTTTGAGGGCTGGATGAGGCACACCGGAGGAAGGAGGGATGAGGCTACTTATGTTCCTAGTTATTAATACTAGTGGTAGAATTTGCTAATCCTGGATTGGATTATTGGAAACTTTGGGTTCATTTGGGAGTTGAGGATTTGGACGGAAAAGAGAGGGAAAGAAGAGAAAGTTTTTGATTTTCTTTTGTTTGTGTGTTTTTTAGTGAGAGAGAAAAGAAAGAAAATGGAAGGATGATAGTGGGTAAAATTTTTCCTCTCAAATTGAAAAAAAAGTTGGAGGAAGCTTGTGAAAATTTTTTAAAATATTTATTTTATCCTTAAAAATATTTTAAACAAATATTTAATAACTTTCATATTTAAAATCATTCCACTAATTCTCAAAACTTTCAAATGACATAACAATCCCTTTTCTCTTTTTTTTTCTCATAACTTAACGTTTGGATTAGCTGTTTTTTGGGGTGTTTTTGAAAAACTTTGCTGAAGCAGAGTTTTTAGAGTATATTTTAAAATATTTTTAGAAAATATTTTGAAATATTTTTTATTGGCACTTTATTATGAGATATTTGGTAAAATTTTAAAAAAATTTAAACTAATTTTTAGATTATCTTTTAGAATACTTTGTTGTAACTTTTATTATATTTAAAAAACTAGTTTTTGAAAAACATTCCAATCCAAACAGAGTCCGAAAATATGTAAAGAAGCTTTTCCGAACCTACTGTTTTACTCACAATATGCTACCAAAAAAGAAGGCTTCTTCTATATTAGGGTTGATTCAAGAAACCTCCCTTGAAATTCTCCTAATACCACCTAGTGCTCTCCAAATTTCACAGATGATGTGACGAAATGTCCCAGTCAGAGGGATTCAAATGACGATGCTGCCTCAATTGCTTTTATATCAGTTAAAGAAACCATATGATTATGTGTAAATTAGTATTAGAAACAGTTTAACAAAATAAATGTAGAAGGATAAAAAAAAGAAAAGAAAAAAATTATTTTAAAGAAACTTCAAAGAAACATGAATATTGGAATGAAATTAACAAGAAAGAAACTTCTTTATAGAACTAAGACAAAGACTAGGACATTAATTTTTTGTCTTGTCGAAAAAAGTTTTAGTTTAATGTATAAAAGTTAAGGGCATTTATATGTAATAAAAGTATAAGGTGTGGATTTAGCCCTCCCCTTCTAAAATTATTGCTTTATATTATTTTCAACGGTCTATTGTTAGTTATTTTATATGTACACATTAAATAGAGAATAACTATTTTAGAAGTAGTTTGAAAGTACTAACTCATCAAAATATAGGCTATTAATGTAGCTAACTCATCAAGACATCTTAGCATACTTATCAAGACATCTTAGCATAAAAACATTTATCAACCACAAAATATGCAATTTGAATCACAACCATTTGGTTTAAAAAAGCATTTGATTTGAGTCCTAACTACTTGATTGGAAAAAAGTAAACTCCTGTGCAATACTAACATCTTGCCACATGGACTAACTCTCTACTTTGCAACTCTAAACTTGTACCTATTTTCCACTTTGTATTTTAAATTTTAATTTTAAACACTTTCCACTTTCCAATTTTCAACTTGGACACTTTGCGCCCTAAACACTCAAATTTACCATATTTATATTCAATCAATGACAACTTTAGTAAAATTAACAGCACAGAGGACCCTACAATTCAATGATATTTTGCTAAAAGTGGTCAAAATGAGCCAAAGTATCGCATTTAAAACAAAACGATACATTTTCATAAATTTCACCATTTAATATTTTGGATCATATAAATTAATGAGAATGTACTGAAAGCACTTAAAAAGAGCCAAGGAATTGCAATAAGATCAAAACAATATATGAATTGTTATTAATTTGCACCATCATTTATCTCGTTAATTTTTGTGATGTTGTCCTTGATTGTTCTTAAATGGGACAAACTTGAAAATTTAAGGTATAAAGTGTCTAAAATTAAGAGTTTAAAATGCAAAATTTTTAAAAGTAAAATTTAAAGTACAAAGTAAGAAAGTAATGCAAGTTTGCAGGCATAAAATGGAATAAGTACTTGCCATTTTATAATGGTATTTCCAAGCATAATTGAACTAACAATTTCCAAGCATAATTGAACAAACATATTTATAATGGTATTTGCCGTATTGGTATACAGTATACACACAATTACGGTCCCAAGCTGATTCAAATGCAATGCAGTTACCAACAAAAAAAAAAATGCAGTGCAGTGCAGTTAAGCAACTATGGAGGAAAAACAATCCACTTTTCATCCTTAAATTTTGAGTTAGGGACATATTTCATCCCCAAACTTTTAGGCGCACCACATTTAGTACATGAATTAATTATTTTGGGTCACATTTAGTCCAAAAATAGTAAAATATTCAATTTGGATAGAGAAAACTGATGTGACCGTTGATTTTGACCGAGAAATTGTTTTTACTTAACGGGCACGTGCCAAACATGTGACTTTCTCTATCCAAATTAAGCAATTTACCGTTTTTGGATTAAGTGTGACAAAAAATAATTAATTCATGTACTAAATATAATACGTCTAAAAGTTTAGAGATGAAATGCGTCCCTAACATAAAGTTTATGAACGAAAAGGGAATTTTTCCCGAAGAGCTCTATGGTAATGTGGTTGATTTTTGGTCCACTCCACTGCTCAGCGATAAACCGTAGAAGTAACCCAAGACTCCTACCCCTCGTTTGAGCCCGGGAATACCTAGAGTGAAAAGGCTTTTCCACCTAAAATGCTTTTTCACCCAGAATGGTGGGGAAAAAATTTTATTATTTCAAAATCTGGTGGACAAGTTAGAATGAAATGTTCACTCAATTTTTAATGTTTGGCATAATCAATATTCAAATGTCAAAATAGAATATACTAAATACAAATTAGACTTGATTGCCCTAGATTAGTTTATAGGATGTAATATGTCATATCAAATTTTTTATTTGTTCTATAATAGCATTTGTCTATTTATGTGAAATTTTAATATTTTTATTTAAAAAATGAATGAGGATTGATGTCAAAATTCTTCAATTGTAATACTTGATTCATTTTAATAAATGGTTTTTTAGCAATATAATTAGCAACATAAAATATAAATTGCCTGATGTACGAAATTATAATTTATTTTTAATCTATTTTCAATTTTGATAAGATTCAAAAAAAAAAATTCTTGCACAAATTTTCAAAAGTCAAATAATAAAGTATCTTAAAATATTTGTTATCTAGTATAAAAGAAAAAATTATTTTAAATATAAGAAAAACTAATTATTATGAAAAATCACATTCAAATATTAATTGAACTTATACATAACCTCAAATATCATGATATAGTGTAAAAATTTATAAGGATAAATTTGACATCCTACTATTCAAGCATTCTAGAAGGTGGAAAGTGATTTTTCCAAGCTTTTTTTAGAAATGGAATTCTAAAAAAAAATTTAGAATGATCATTTCATAGAGAAAAGATTTTTTCACTTAATTTTTTTTTTTTATCGGACCCGACTAATCCTCCTGCGGTTCAAGAGGAAAGGCCCCTTCCCCTTGAACACGTTAACCCTGGGACTCGAACCCTGGTGGGGGATATGGACAACGTACCCTGAGGAGGGGCAGTGACCAACCGAGCTACTCAGGTGGGCTTCACTTAAATGAACCATACCAAACACTAAGGATTTTTTCGCTTAAATGAACCATACCAAACGCTGAAATGAAATGGATAAGTTGAAAAGGCCTTTCCTTTCTAAGCCAATTCTACATACCAAACGAGCATAGTAGTTCCTATTGTATATGATGATAATTTCGGGTAAAATGTACTAGTTTTCTTGCTAACAAATTGGTGATTTCCTTGAATGCCTCTTTGCTTTTTTTGGCATTTTGAGATTGATCAACAACATACAAATTTTAAATATAATTTATTTATTTTCATAATAACAAACGTCTATGCATGACACAAAAGCCTATGCAATACATTTGACACTTGAAAAGAATATCAAACCAATTCTATGCAATAGATTACATAGAATTTATTCAATCATCAACATCAACATCAACATTAAATAATATATATATAGATTTTCAACACTAGAAAGGAAAGAAAGAAATGTTGGGATATTCAAAAGAGTTTTTGACAGATGCACCATATTCTGCTCCCCAAAACCAAGCTTCAATGACAAGGCCCAGGCCCAGGCCCAGGCAACATCTATATCTCCACCCTTATCCCGACCCTTTTTCGCTAGGGTTTTATCGAGAACCTATTTCACTTCTTCTTCCCTCCGCTGCTCAAAACAAATTTCTCAATTCAATTCAATCTCAATGCCCACCAAATCTCTGCGAAAAAAATGTCAAATGAAGATCGAAATCTCATTGCCGGAGCCCATTTGGCTACTGTGGAAGCAAAGCGACGTCGTCAAACCGGTTGTTACTTGCTTTCCCAGTTGCAAAATTGCGCTTCGGCCAAGTTTCAGAAAGTGCCTTTAATTAAGTTTTTTTAATAATTTGTAAAATCTTGCATATTTGCACTCATAATTATCGTGGGCTTTGCTGAATTTGAAATAGTAAGGCTTTTGATCCAAGAGTGCATAAAGGAAATGCTGAGTTAACTCGGCGGCGGCCAGACAACCGCTGAGATGGATCCACAGATGAATGCCCCCTTTTCCATACGGCATTTATCTACTAAATCCATCTTACATTATTCTATTTTATTTCCTTTCAACTTCTGATTTTTCGTTAAGTGTAGTAAAAGTTAGCAGGTAGAATTTTTATTTTAATTTTATTTCATTTTACATTTTTTTTTTCGTTTTTGAATGGCTAATTGATTATTAATGCTTTGAATCTATTGATTAGATCTTGGTATTAAGCTATCTGTCAAGACATAGATGTTAAAAGTTGTGGTCTTGTAGCAATTTATTATATTACTTGACAAATTGTATCAGTTGTTTTGTTTATATTTGCGGGAATTTGTACTCTGCATTGTTATGTTAAATTCCCAAAGCAATCACCATTATGCCCTTGACTGCTAGCATTTAACTGGAGGGCATCTATGAAGATATGGAAACCCCAAATGTGTTGAGGGTAGAATATTGTTGTAACTGTTTATGGTTATCCTGCAGGTTTGTTCCTGGGCAAGTTCAGAATCATGATTAGGCGAGGTGGGGATTGTGTAGTTTAACATAATCAGTAAACGCTGCGATTGATTTGATGTACTGTTGGATACCTGAAATGTGCACACAGTGAAAATCTTGCTGCATGATAAATCTGCACCGTGAAAGTGTGTGGTGTGGGTATGCAGCTGTTTTTCGTCTATTGTATTTCTTCGAACAACTGGGCAAGTGGCAGGTTTAAGTTCTGAATCCGTTCAGCACTTGGCGTAAAGGAACAAGTACTTCAGTGAAGTAATCTTCCTGGCTGATCACTGCAATATTATGTTAATTGAGTTTACTAAGGAGCTTAGTGACTGTGTATAATAGGTGCTGTATTTGTCAGTGTGTACTGCACCAATGATTAAATTCATACAGAATAGTTGAGATCTTATGTATTTGTTGGCAGTTGGTTTGAGAGCTGATAAATGGGCTTCTTACCGATGAGAATTCTGCTGTGACATTTGTGCCTTGCCATATTGTACTCGGATACTTCCAACATATGAACTTCGTTGCACTATTTAAGTGCCAGAAGCAATACGTTGGATGTGTAGCAGTTTGTTAAAATTGTCATGCTGAGTTTTAAATTGCCATTTTTTAGGTTGAGGTTTATGTGAAATACAAAGTGATCAAACCCTCGTAGGACAATGGCGCTGGAGCTTCAGCGTATGCTTAAAAGGGAAATAGGGGATCAGCTTTTACACTCTACATTGCAAATTATTGGCAGATTATAAAACAATACAAGTAATGGGGCATCTAGTTGCTGATTGTGACCATTGTCTCCATTATTCCGCCAAAATGGTACCAATGTGTCTTCTGGAGCTTTAGCATTCCTATTGTCCAGAAATGCTCTGGCCGCAGGTGTATTCTTTCCATGAAGAACTAACTAGCTCCCCTGAAACGTGCGCATGTCTGCACCAAGAAATTACTATGAAGCAGAGTATCGCTTGATGAGATTGTCTATATAAAGTATAAACAAAGGAAATATCTTAAGCCATTTATGTGTTGCAAATTCAGATTTGGAAAACCAACATGTTCTAGACACCTCCTTGATGCAGGCATGCAGTATGATTGCTCAGAATGGTGCAGCAAAGGAACTGGAATTAAAAGATATAGATAAAAGAGGCTGAGCCCCACTGACGAAGAAACTGCATGGCCCTAATTCCTCCCTTGAAGGTTCTACTTAGAATGGATAAACAAAGGTTAGAATGTTGCTAATCTGGTTACGCGCTAATAGGCTTACATCCTTTGAAAAACTAGCAGAGTTTCCGAATGCTAAATGTCATCAATTTTAAACTACTGATTCAAATTTTACAAAATGAAATGAAGCAGCACAGCTAACATAATACATCAGATTCTTGTGTTAGAAAACCAGTGAACTAGCCAGCAATTTTCCTCATAGGTTACACCAATCAACGATGCAGCTAAACTGAGTTATTCGTCATCTTCTTGGGTGTCATCAGCAGCTAGCAGATGATTAAGAGCAACTTTTGGCTTTTTGGTCTGTGGCAAGATATCCTTGGCAGCATCTTCATCGCTCTTCCTCTTGAAGGATTCATCTCTCTCATCATCAGGTTCTTCACCTGTGTCAGGAACTTCTATTTCAGCAGTCCCTGCATTCTCCTGTAAAGAAGAATTTGGTCGACCTTCTGAAAATTTTCCTTTACCATTCAAGACCTCCTTGCTGGATGTGGTTTGACACTGAACCAAGAATGCGCGAATTTCTTCACTGCCAGCCAAATCAACTGGAGTTTTCCCAGCTTTGTTCTTTGCATCAATATTTGCACCTTTTTTAATCAAGTACTTGACAAGTTCCAAATGTGAACCTTGGACAGCATAATGCAGGGCAGTCATTCCTTTGCGATTGTATGACTTGATGGGGACTCCGGAGTTAACGAGAATCCTCACAACTTCAGTGTGACCCTTCTGAGCAGCAAAATGAACGGCACCCATATCATCCATTGCAGCAGCTCCAACATCAGCCTTTTTGCAGAGATATTCCACTATCTTTGTTTGCCCAGACCAAGCCGCTAGATGAAGTCTAAACTCAATGTTCCTCAAGGAATACACAGACAGAAAAGTCACAGTATCCACATGTAGTGCTGAGAAATGATGTAAATAGCTGAAAGGCAGTGTTTGTTCCCTGTTTCTCGTATATATTAATCCCAAAAAAAAAGGCTCGAATGGTATTCCTCTTGATATCTCTGGATGAGCATCACTGACTGATATTATCATTTAAGATCACATTCTTAAAAAATGTTGCAGATAAAGCATAAAGCTCTGTAATAAAAATTAAACGAGCCTCAACACGTTGATTCTGTGGACAAGGAAAGGTTATTATAATTCTCAACTTCTGTAACTTTGTTTTCTGAAAAATTCTTCATCCTCCACCCCACGCACCGATTGATAATGTCAGTATTGTCAGGAGCCTTCAAGTAAACTTGCATGAAACTTCTAGTTACTATAGTTTAAAACTTTATGTCCTGATTTTTCAAAATTTCAGTCAAGTGTGATCTTTTGTTCTCGGCGAAAACACGTGCTTCTGGCAGCTTGCAAATACCAAAATATCAAACAGGAAAATAAGCACATCAACTTTTGGAAATCCTTTTGATATGTGAACAGAACTAAACTGAAATACTGAGTCAGGCCCAATTCAATAAAATTACTTAAAATCAAAAACCAAAGAAGAGGATTTCTAGGATGCTCTATTTTCTGGAAAACTACTTATCTGCAGTACAGATTAAAGAGGAATGAAGAAAGCAAGCATGCTTGAATGAAAGAGGCTCAACTATACTTTTTTTCTCTCACGCTACTAGGTTTCAAAAGAACAGGTGATGACTTTGCAATCATTATCATCTAATTATACCCAAAGAAAATGGGAATGGAAAACACAATCTTATACTGCATAGGATAGCCTCTGTAGAAGACATCTGAAACCAACTTGTTGTAGAGTCTAACACAACAAACCACATATATTAGTGCTTAGCTTATTGCTTGATCAATTAAATATCAAGTTAGCTTCCTGGATTGTGCCAAAACTAAAAATAATACCCTAAACTGGAATCATTTAATATTGCTGAAACATTCAGTGGAGTCAAATAAAATTCTTAATTTGGTAAAATCATAAGCCTCACAGGAGAACATGAAGATAAATAATTTCACACAAAAGAAAGAAACTTGATGTTTCTAAATGTCCTGGTTGGATTTCTCAACATACATCAATCTGATATCCAATCTGCTCTTGAAATATATTTGGCAGCGACAGTTATGGACAGGAACACTATCATCTCATCAGACGGGGAAGAAAACATTAAGGTTGCAACATGGAATTAGTGCTAAAACAAAATCAGAAGTAAGCCTTTGATGTTTGAATCATCAAGACAATTTTACAAATGGCAATCAATGCAGACTGAAATTCACAACCCAAACAATTCTAAATCTTCTGGGGTCCTGAAGCATCAGCTATTAGAGGTTTTGTCCCCCTAAATTTTCATCACATTGATAGGTCACCGAGGAAACATCAAACCAAACCGTGTTAGCATACTGGCAAATAAACAAAGAATTTGAACTTGCATCACACTAATTCAAGCCCTAGTTCTCCGTTCAATCACCTTTCCTCAGACAAAAAACCAACTCCCTCATTCCAATCCATCACATACCAAACTGGGATTACACTATCTAATGTATGTTCTTCATTCTTAATTTTGCTAATTTCAAATACTCATGTCAAATTCCATAGCTTAACAGCTGACATCAAAACCTAAAACTTCATGCTCCACCAAAAAGGCTATTCAGTAAAACCCAATTATCGCGCAACTTACTAGGGGAAACGAAAAAAAAAACAACCAAACCAAATTAAACCAACCTTTACTAATGATTCTAAGAAAAACCCACTTCAATTTTGCCAAGAAACAAATTGCAAAACAAATGATACAGAAAAGAAACATCCAACTTCATAAAACTAAACAAAAAAGCCATAGAAAACAACAGAAAACGTAAATGGAGTTTTAAGGAGAAGGAAGAGGAGGATACGGGGTGCGGGAGTGCTTGTCTCTGGAATTGATGGCAAGAGGATTGGTGCTGCATATTCCCTGAACAGCCTCCAGGTCCCCCGATCGAGCTGCTCCGTGTAATTCCTCATCTGCAGTGTTATTTGTAGTTGATGTTGCTGGTCTTGATGGTTTCTTCGGCTTTCCCATGCTCTTCGTCTTCTTCAGCCAAAAAAATTCACAAAAAACCTGCAAATTTCTGAGCAACAGAACTTGCAAGAAAATGTAAAGATCGGCTTCTCTGCAATTTTGAGCCGTTTGGTTTACTATTTAATACACTGGTTAAGTGTAGGTTGGCTGGGCCGGGCCTGTGCATTTTTAAAATTTGTCCAATTGTTGGATCACTTGGATGGGAAATGGGTCCATTACTGTTCTTTTTTTTTTTTTTTTGGGGAATTCCTTTTGTTTACCGATTAGTAATTTATCTTTGACTATCCTTTTAACAAAAGTTATCTCAATTGCTTATTTCTGTTAATTTTGAACGAAATTTTTTTAAGGGAAAAAAAACGCTTGAACAATCTTACAAGCCAATGTGTTATTAACTCCAAATCTTTGTTTGGTTTCTATTTACTGAATATTCTGGGGGCAAGTCATCAATTTTATTAAACAATATCTACTTTCATGACATTTACAATTTATATTGAGAAATATAGTTCTTAAGGAGATATGTCTAAGCATTAATCTTGTTTATATTGATAGTATAAATCACTAGTGTATATATATATATATCAATAGTATATATATTGATAGTATATGGGCTGATGGCCACCACAAAAAACTTTAAGTTTTGGTGGGTGGGCAGTCAAAGATTCAAACTTTGCCTCCCATAATTAGCCACAATATGTGGTTTCCTCAAATTCATTTGAGTGCGTAGTGCACTCTTTTTGTCTGATGATGGTTCAGTCTCCGTTGGCTCCCCTATAGATCTAGTTGAGCTTCCCCTAGAGTAAGAGTAGAGTAGATAAATGATGAATGATAATATATATATATATATATATATATATATATATATATATACTGCCACGTTGATTGTTTGACAACTAATCTGAATTTATAATTAGCCCAGTAGTAGTAAGATGTCATGTATGAAGTGGCAAACGGATAGATTTCGGTTCACAAACAAAGATCCATTAGAATTCTCGAAACTAGATCGGATTCTTACTTTGGCCTGTCCAACTTGCAAGAGGAGTGGGTTTGGTCTAGCCAATATATTGCAGACGGGTCCTCTGTCCATCATATTTGTCCATTTTTTTCTATTCAAGGCAAAACTATGTAGTTCCACTCATTAATACCGCTGATATGACGTATAACATTGAATGCATATTTAGGAGGTGTTTGGTAAATGGGTTTCAATTCAATAATATTCTAATTGTACCCATAGTCTTCTACTTTGGAATTAGTAAGTGGAACTACGTAATTTTGCATTGGATAGAAAAAATGGACAGATATAGTGGACAGAGGACCCCGTAGATTGAATGGCCAAATTTGGCTACACTTAATCACCACATGTTGAAGAAAAATAAAAAATTGTCAACAAAAATATGGATTAATATTCTATACATTAATAGTGTATATACTTATACTATTAATGCATGATATATAATCCGAATTTAAATTTAAAATCTAAATTCTATATATCTATCATACATCCAACTGTGATAGTATATACATTGTCAATGTATATAAGATTTACTCTAAAAATATTTTGGAAGACATGGTCATAAGAAATTTGTTCATCTTAGACTAGTCAACGGTGGGTGAAAGAGCTTATTCTACCATTTAAATTTCTAAATAAGATTAACATTGATTTGATTAAGACATGCTATTTCTCAGAATGGGGAGAGAGAAGGAAAAGACGTCGTTACTTGTCACGCTTTCTTTTAGGTATTTCCCAGTAGCAAATGTGTTTTTGGAGATTAGGGACCTCCTAGTTCAAGCTAAATTAAATTAGATGTGATTAATAAGGAGATAGTTATTAAAATTACAACTATGTAATATTAAAATAAAATGTTCCTTTTACCCACTTTATTTTTGAAAGCACAAAATAGTTTGTTTTCCCATATAGTGAACATAATCATCCTAATTTGAATGTAAATTTGTTGTGCATGTCAAGAGGGAAATGACAACTAACAAATGTATAAATTTTGGTTCACAAAGAAAGATCCACTAGATTTCTCCGAACTCAATCTAATCCCATCCCTCCAACCAGTCAAATGGGTTTTGTTTGGTGGCCAATTTACTGATACAATAGCTTGAATCACCAAACTCGACTAAATTTAATGACTTTATTTTGAAAAAAGAATTATCAATACTTCAAAAAACATGATCAAAAGAAATTTGTTGACCTTAGACTAATTAATAGGTGGGCCAAAAAAGCCTAATATATCATTTAATCTTTTAAATAAGTTTAAAATTAATATTTATATACAAATTTTATACTTTCATACTTAAGGCAAATTAATATTTACATACAAATTTTATACTTTCATACTTGAGGCAAATTATATAAAGTATTAAAAATGAATTTTATTCAAATGGAATATTATGTTTCATTAGTTCCACCTTAAATCATATAATCGGGATGAGGAGTGAAATTCTGGATTCGGGACCTCCCATTTATACCTTTCACCAAAAAGCGAGATAACTTGGGGGTTAGTACACTTCTAGTAGCAGGGTTTCTCAGGGTATTCTAGTCCCGCATCGGGGTTGGGGGTTGGGTTAGTTGGGTAGATAAGTCCCTGGGACTGCCTCAAGAGTTGCCGGCTTTTGAGGTTAGTTCTGGGATTAGGTTTATTTAATCAGCAAAAGTCAATTGACAAAACTGATAAAAGACGAAGTACCTTTCTGAGATAACTTGGGGGTTAGTACACTTCTAGTAGCAGGGTTTCTCAGGGTATTCTAGTCCCACATCGGGGTTGGGGGTTGGGTTAGTTGGGTAGATAAGTCCCTGGGACTGACTCAAGAGTTGCTGGCTTTTGAGGTTAGTTCTGGGATTAGGTTTGTTTAATCAGTAAAAGTCAATTGACAAAACTGATAAAAAACCAAAAAGCGGTTTGGTCTGATCTGATAATTTTAAGTTGGTTCAACCGTCAAGAACCGATACGTAGTGCACTCCATTTTTTTTTTTCTCTTCCTATGGTCCAATCCAGGATTCCACGTCTCACCAGTAGTATTAAAATTAAATTAGGAAAACAGCGGCAAGTTTTGGTGAAGTCGGCAAACGCCTGGTATTTAAAGAGGAGCACCCAGCGAGAACAAGAAAATAGAAGTCGGCTACCAAACACCAAAACTGAAAATTCTCTGTCCCAATAGGAAAAAGGCAAAACTACGGTTCGGAAATTCTTCAAGTTCTCGGCTTGTTTCGATCCACTGCTATGGTAAGTCCCGGTTAAACCTTTCGCTTTGTGAATAGTTTTATGGTGAAATATTATGATTTTGTTTTGATTTGATTTTTTTTGTTGTCTGTACTTTTGTAAACCTCTCTTGAAATGTTAAATGTTAGCGTTTTGAGCTCTACATACAAATAAGTATCTTTATTTATGTGGGTTTTAAGGTGTAACCTGTATTGCTATATTATCAAGAATTTTGCGTTTTATTTTCCTCTTTTTTTTTTTTTAGTTAGGATTGTCATTTAGGTTTAATCTAATACATCCGTGCTGGGTTTTTACTTTGGAGAACACAGAAAGTAATGGCAATAGAATTTTGGTCGATTCGGGATTGGGACCCCTTTTTTTTTTGGGGTGAAAAATGGGCTTTTATTAGGTTGTATTTACAAAAAAAAAAAAATTGTCAACTTTTAACTAGGTTGTGAATTTCTTTTCCTGCATAAGAAGGCATTGTTGGACGGGTTTAGGGAGTAATTTGATTTTCATCTATTTCTTTGTCTGTTTCATTTTGATCTGATAGGAGAAAGAATTGGGTTCGGGGGCTTCAATTATCTTGGTCGTTCTGTTTATGCATTTCCTTTGTTGTGCCTTTCTTTAAAGCCTCTTATGGTTTTCCCATGCATCTTTTCTTAGGAAATTGTTTTATTGTCATTTTCTCGAGTTTTTGGTTCTGCGAATATGGTCAGTTTTCTATGGCTGCATTTAGGTTCTGGAACTTGAGATTTCTTGTGGGGAAGAAAGTAAATGTAAGGGAAAGCATTTTTCTTGGCTATGATTTTAAGGAATAGGATATTGCCTTAAATAAGGAATGCCTGAATCTGGAAATTCGAGTTAGTTGAATTTTTGAATGACAATACCTAACCTAAAATTTGATTAATGTGTGGAATCATGTAATGGAAATAATTTCTTTCCTTTTGTCGTTCCCTTTCTCTTTGTAAAATCAATGAAAATGGTAAAGATATGGTTGAATGTGTATAGTACCTTATGGAATTCTGTCTGTTTCTTCTTTAGAAGTTTAAACATCAGAGTCAGAAGATGGGTTTAAAGTCTGAAAGCTTGAGATTGTTTTCCAATGGTATTAATGTTGGTACGTCTTTGTTTGAGTGTAATACTGGGTTTGAAGTGTCAGTTGTGACCTTTAAATTTGATCAATTTTTTCACAGGAGACATCAGCTCATGAAAATATACTAGCTCTTACAGAGCAAGTGGTCCTGCAGTTTGGTGAAGTTTCGAATGCATTAAGGATGGTGAATAAAGAAGGGATTATTCAAAATGATCCTCTAATCATCACTCAAGCTTCATTGCAGAGTAATTTATTTCTCTTTTGCATCTAGTATTTACATATCTGGTTGGTACTATTTAGTTGTATTTGTTCTTTGGTAACTTCCAATTCTAATACTCTGCTACCTCTATACAGCAGATGATGCATATCACCTCTCATGTAGTATACCTAGTGATTTAGACTATATTCATTCTTTATCGATTCCACTAAATTAGTTAGTTTCACTGACGCTTGGTGTTGCTTGAACTTGCTCACTGATGGTTGTGCAACCTAGTTGACTGCTGCTGATGCTTTTTTCTTGTTCCCCTCCCTGTTTTAAGAATATTTATGTACTGCAATATTTTTTTGGGATTGTTGGTTAGGTAATACACTGTGTTCTCTATTTTTTTTTCTGCACTCTATTTATAGCTTTGTGTAGGTTTGCCATTTTGAGAAATGCTATGTATTTCCTTGTGACTACGCTCTAGTGGTGGCACCTTTTGAGTGTATGGGTGCAGAGTGTTCTGAGCTGGAAGTTTTGGCAGTCTATTTATACAATTTAGGCAAGGCTTCCAGCAAGAAACTTGTTGTC